AATAGAATAGAATAGAATAGAATAGAATAGAATAGAATAGAATAGAATAGGGAATAGAATGGAATGGAATCGAATCAAATCAAATGGAACAGAACAAAACAGAATAGAGTAGAGTAGAAAAGAATAGAATAGAAAATAGAAAAGAATAGAATAGAAAAGAATAGAATATAGAGTATAATATAGAAGAGAACAGAATAGACTATAGGATAGAATAGAATATAAGATAGGATAGAATAAGGAATAGAATAGAAGAGAATAATAGAATAGAATAAGGAATAGAATAGCATACCATAGAATAATAGAATAGAACAGAAAAGAATAGAATAATAGAGTTGGAAGGGACCTCAGAGGTCTTCTAGTCCAACCCCTGACTAGGCAGGAAACCCTACACCACTTCAGAGAAATGGCTATCCAACATCTCCCTTAAAATGTCCAGTGTTGGAGCAGGACAGTGGCAAGATGTAGGAATGGACACTATAGCATTGTGTTTCTCAACCATGGGGAGTTTGAAATAGGTGGACATCAATTCCCAGAATTCCCTGCCCAGCCAGCATTGATCCTGGGAGAATTCGAAGAGGTTGAAGGTCGCACAACTGAAAATGGCCAAAGATGAGCTATAGTAGGGGTTCCCATCCTCCCTGGGCCACAATCCAGTACTGGATCACAGCCCATTTGGAACTGGGCCACGCAAGCAGCAGCTGAGTGCACACACCAGAGGTTGTATTCAGCAGGTTCTGACCAGTTCTGGAGAACTGGCAGTGGAATTTTTGAGTTGTTCGGAGAACCAGTAAATACCACTTCTGGCTGGCCCTGCCCCATCTATTCTCTGCTTCCTGAGTCCCAGCTGATTGGGAGGGAATGGGGATTTTGCAGTATCCTTCCCCTGCAACGCCTACCAAGTCACGCACACCAAGCCACACCACGTGCATTAAGCCACACCTACAGAACCGGCAGTAAAAAAAATTGAATCCCACCCCTGGCACACACGCCTGCAGCTCCATGTGCGCCAGTGGTGGGCACTCACACATGTGTGTGAAGCTGAATTTGTGTGAGGGGTGGACGTGCCCATTTAACAACAGAAACTTTGGGCTCAATTGTGCTTGTGAGTTGAGGACTACCTGTAGGGAGCGTGCCAGCTCCCTTGTAGAGTTGGAGCCATATCACTGCCTCACTTGAATTCTCTGCTCATCCATATAAATGTGGCCAAGAAAACCCCTTCCAGGAATGTATCTACATATGCAAACCAAAGGAGTTGCTTTTCCTGAAAAAACCACTTGTGCAATATGTCTCAACGGAAGGGAAGTGACTCAATATTGGTGAGTCCTACCTACAGACATGCTGCTTGAACATGGCATATTAATGACTGGAAAGACAGCTCGTTCCAACATCTATGGCATACTGTGCCTTCCAACACTCATCAAGAGGGAGTTTACTGATGTTGGGTAACCATCTTCTGGGAAAAGGAATTCTAAGCAGTGGTGGGATTAAAATGAATGTACTACTTGTACTGTGGGCATGGCTTGGTGGGCGTGGCTTGGTGGGCATGGCAAGGGAAGGATACTGCAAAATTCCCATTTCCTCCCAATCAACTGGGACTCGGGAGGCAGAGAATAGATGGGGGCGAGGCCAACCAGAGGTGGTATTTGCCGGTTCTCCCAACTGTGGCACGACAAAACCGCGCTCGACTAAAGCGTGCCCGATTAAACCGCGTCGCTGACGTCATCAACGGCGACAACAACGAGCGCGGAGAAAGAACGGCACTTTAAATAGCGCTTTGAAAGCAAGCCGATTCAAGTTAAGGTAAGGGTTAGGTTTAGGGTTAGGTT